AATTGTGAAAAAACTTTAATTTTCAAGCATCATTTTATAAGGATTTGATTTGTTCCAGAGTTGCTTGCAGATTCATATCAGATAAAGGACCACTGGAAACCAGGGAGTACTGGGCAACTGTTTCTTTATAGGTTGGGAATATTCAGCAACCACGATAACACCGGAGATTGGACGTATAACCTTTAGATTACAAGGTGAGCTCATTCACCATGGGCCTAAGTTAAATGGCCCATGAATTCTGAATTCTGTTAATTGGTGATTCTACTGCAACTGTCAAACAATGTTTCTGGTGAGTATTTATACTCACACCCAACCTCTTGGACCCCAGTGGTTAAAAATATTTAAAATAGCCTGGTATGACTTTGGAAATGATTAATTCGAATTGTTTCATTTAGCAGTCTTTGCGAACCTTTACCCTTTTTCTTGGATCAATTTTACAATCTTCAGAGTTATAGAAATGTAATATCACTGTAACTTTACAAATCTAACGTTACATATTTATGAAGTTAGGTTTGTGAAGATGTTAGTTGTAGAATTATTGGAAACAAAGTGTCAACTTCAAGTCTGTTCGTCCCAATTTTTAGCTTTTCAGCACCACATGCTTTGGAAGACTTTAATCAGAAGATCACCATTTCATAAGGAAGGAAGCCAAATTATAATAATATACTTTATCTATTTTGATTAGAGACTAGTTAGTAACTAGTGTAGTGTGTCTAGCCATAAGGAGATGTAAAGTGGCCAGAATACCAAGACTCATTCTCAAACTCGTCTCTAAGAATGATTTTTACATCAGGCTACCCTACATAGGTGACCATAGCAGCCTGGTAACTCGACAGAGATTGAACTCTGCGGTTAAATCGACTTTTTATGTAGCTAAAGTCCGAATAACTGAGAATGTGAAGACTGCATATTCATCTAAGGCCTTAAAACATAAGACAAATGATGACTACCAATTTAAATAAACGTGTGATCACACATACATAGGGAGGACTCATCTCTCCTTGCAAGTAAGGGCTTCGAAGTATATCCTAGAATGGAGACCACATTGAAAACTTGACTGATAGAATTCAGTCGACACCAAAGAGAGGAATAGACACACTGCACTAGTTACTAACTAGTGTCCAGTCAAAATATCCGATGCAGTCCTACAGGAGGTTAATTGCAAACCCATATAGCTCAGTGGTAACGTCTCTGACTGTAGCACTGGGTGATATGAGTTACATCATGGCTGCAGGTACGCCTTGCTGACTGGTAAGTTTCAGCTAGCACGAAACCTTGGTCGAAGGCTTCCTGCCGACCTCCTCTAACCATCTAATGTACTTTCTTCATAGGACAGGGCATATGAGGACTCAACTGTTCATCTGATTCAGTGTGAAGAAACCTTCAAGAGTGAATCAAAAAGTGAGTGCTTATTTTCTTGATGCATTTACACATTACACATATATGTAGACGGAGTAAAAAAAAAGTACTGTACTGACAATCTACAATGTTCTGAAGTCACTGAAGAAGGAATATTATCATTGAAATACCACTGAAACACAACTTTTTCCATAAAAGAGGACTAAAAAAAACAATCTGTTCTGGCAGTTATCAGCTGCAGTTTACTGTTTCATTCCTTGGGTAGGAGATAGTTATAGCGCGCGAAAAAGAAATGCTAATTCCTAAAACTGACATATTTTTGAAATGAATTTGTTTATATGAATACATTATTAAAAATTTATGCATGAAAAAGTGAATTTCTCAAGTAAACCACTCATTATATTTAATGAAACACTTTTTTCCGGACGACTTGTTTTCTATCGTCAACAAAAGAATATAACTTTAGTTTCTTTTGTTCTGCTTTTAAGTCACCCAGCCCAGATAAACAGATGCTTTGTGTGAAAACGTTAGCATCTTTGCATTTATAATGGTATACATAGAACTTTATTTTTGCCTAAAAGTGACCAGTGAATATTTTATTTGTGGAACAGAAATATTTTGTGACAATCCCATAGGTCTCGCTTAGTGAGAAAATAATAAGATATGGAGTTAGCCGACAATATATATTAACGAATTTCAAAGCTATCCTGAAAATGATATTCCTATAGCACTCGAACTAGCTGGTTTGTAAAACATACTGTATATGGCAGTGATTCCAGTAAAACAGAACTGGGTGGTTCTTTGAGATTATTTGAGATAATCGTGTTATGAAATGAAGAAGACTGAACTGAAGTATAAACTAGAGGCCATAAGGTAAATAAATATCTGTCTAGGTTAGAGTAAATCATGTTCAAAAAAACCAGGCTACTTGGTGTTTTTTCTTGAATGGTTGAAGAAAGGAACAAATGATAGGAAAAGGAGACAACACCTCTATGAAAGGTACTTTTATTGTTATTCTCTTTTGCAAACTACTGTGAACATGAAATTTCACTTTAGCTTTATATTGTGAATCATCCTGATACCATTAATTGTTCTGTTTAGGATTAAGGAAGTGTATCAGTCACATTCACACTGAATAATAAGGTATTTACATACATTAGTAAACGAAGGACCTGGAAAACAGGAATGATCACACCAAATCACTTATTCTCACCACACCCTTAAATCCGTCGAATGAATATATTAAGGATTAAGTGATTTCAAAAATGGTAATGACATCAAAACAAAAAACAAAATGCAGTATAAACCAGTGAGGGTGATCTGCTACTGCAAATTTGTTGACTGCAGTTAATCACATTTTCGTGCGGCTGTAACAGGATATGGCTACCATAGAATTGAAGTTCTGGTATGAAGTAGAGCGATTATCAAATTTAAGAGTTAATTTTTTAGTCACAACCAATAAAGAACAACGGTGGTGTGCCTGGCTCATTTGGCTATCTGGATTTCCATCCAACATATTGAATAAAATGTTCCCTGTTTCTTTTTGTTTTAACCAACCGATTATGTCCGTGGACAGCTAAATGGATGACTCTAAACTATAGAAGTCCAAAATGAAACTACCTGAAAAAGAACTTGATAAATCTCTATCATGACCAGTGACCAGTAGGGTACAGCAAGTCAAAGATGAGGCAGTAACTCATCACAGAAGACATTGCGAAATGGTCGCGCTCTGTCGTGATTTGGCAGAAGTTAGAATTCGAGAACCATTGGATTGGGTTCCAGTGGCTCAATGGTCTACGAGCTCGCCTTGTAACCAGAAGGTCCTGGGTTCGAACCCCGGTGGATGCGTACAGACGAGGAGTCCCAAACTAGGACGAAACAGCTGTCCAGTACTTCCTGCAGGTTTTCCAATGGTTCTCTAACTGACGTTGGCTGATGATGAAATCCTCCAACCAATCAAATCTCTATCGATCAATCAAATGTGTCTGAAGCAGAAGTGCGTAATTTGAAAGGAAATTTTATATAAAAGTAATACAGTGTTAAAAAAAGTTACATAGAATAACATTCTTGTATACGTTCCAAAAAGCCTTCCAACTTCTCATAGAAGTCCTCATAGCCAGGTTAGACCAATTTCTGTATATAATTTCGTCGAGATAACTGTAAACCACCGTGTTCCTTGACTCATTTACCGCCTTCGACTCTAGAAAGCCTCGACGGTATTTGTGTCATTCTCATCGAAAAGATTAACGAAATAGACCTCTCGATTGACCACGTTATGAATACAGCCCAGAGATGACAATTTCCTACACGTTTTCTTCCTTCCAATAAGCTTGTTGCCTGATCAGTACTTGGATACTAGATATGGTGAATTTCACTACATAATTAGTGTATAGCACCTAAAATTCCGCCTATATCCTACGAAGCCATCTGACTGGTTGCTCAAGGTCATTAATCCGTTTATTAGGTAGTTTTGTTTTGAGCTGCTACAGTTTGGAGTAGTCGCTAAATGTGTTCACGCACGTTCTTGATTGTCTTTCAACCTACTGCTGCTGCTCATTTCTCGACAACGAAAGAAAAATACCTTAACGGATTATTTCATTCATCCGACAGAACGGCACTGTGTCATAAGTACTTCAGATCGCTATTTTAATTCAAGATCCTGAATGAACGCAATAAACTAAGCTGAAAATTCTGTACATTGTGTAAACTTTTTTTCAGAATATAGCTGTTATTATTATCAAGAACTCTTGATCCTGAAATTCAGAATATTTTTACCGGGTATCTTTCGTCTATTAATCATGTAGAATTTCGCAACGTTTATTACAGCTGCTCGGCTAATGGTGATTTCATTATTAAATTATGTTAACCGTCATAGGTCATAGATTGCACGCTTGTACTTTAGAAAGGGACTCTTGAACTATTTTTTTCCTTCACTTTCCCTAGTGGAACATAGGGATTCAAGTTAATGGCTGGAAGTTTCTTTAGCAGTGTTCATTTTACAAGATGGGGTTGCTAGCCTCGTGCCCAACCTTTCCTCTTTACCACCATTATTTCTGGCTCAGCGAGGTAAAGGAGTGCCTTGGCCGGGGATCGAACCCCGGACCATGTGTATGGTCAGCGAGCGTCCTAACCGCTATGCCGCCGACGCATCTTGAACTATTAATTCAACCATATTCTGATAAAATTCCATGGATATATCTTCACGAAAAATGTGCCTGCCAACTGTGCCAAAAGGCTCAGAAGGAAATTTCCAGGCGTTTTTTTCCGTCCACTTAACTATTTCGTCTTATAACTCAACGAAAATCAGAATGAAATCTTATGGTGAATTTAAAGGAAATCCTGTACCTGGAATTATTCAAATATCTAACTAATATTTAATAATAATTCCTATTTTGTGTAAGACCTCTGGGATTCATTGTTTATACTGGTCACTTTTTCAGACGCCTATGTAGATAATTACATACTTCTAGTTGAGAAACGAAGTACAGAATGTATTTTACGACGATAGAAAAAAAAAAGCTGTTAAACTCTTCGAAATTGTGTCAGCATAATTGTATTTTAAAATCGTGAGAAAAAAAGAAAAATTTATTATGCACCAGAAAACACTGAACAAGCAAATTAATAAACATAAAACTTTTACGTGAAAATGTGGTCAAAAAAAAAGAAAAAAATAAGGAAAGCTCTGTTGCACTTTCTGTAGTAGTAATAGTAGTAGTCGTTTTAGTAACAATGAAATTAAACAAAGATCAGCCTGTTTTGCGCATAAAAGAAGGACAGAAGGACATCCACAATTTTCAGCGCATCATACTTTAATGATCACGGTTACAATTAATTCGGATGTGGAATGTATACGTTTTCTCAGAACAACACTTGACTAATAGAATAGGGCATAGAAGGATAAAACAGACAAAATGTATTTATATATATTATGCTCTGTTTATATAACAAAACACGTCAATAGCAAAACAACACTTCTTGAAAAGAAACAGATGATTTATAATTAGGCTTTTAATGAATCTATTAGAAACTGGAACTCACTAGAAAAAAAAGAAAAAGAAAAACTGAACGAAACCTGTTTAACTCAAGTGAACCATAAAAGAAAGGCGCACATTTTATGTGAAATCAAAATGCGATTGCTTAATTCGAGTAACCAAACTCAAAGTTTGTATGCTTCAGTGACAAACGCGGACTGTTTGCACTGTTTGGTCTTGTTGATATAGAACAGTCATTTGTAGGAACACTGGTGATACCGCCTGGTAACACAAGACGCGATGAGGATGCAGACGATGACGGTGGAGATGGTAACTGTCTTCGATGTCGGGGTTTTGAAGAACCGACATCTTCTAGACATGAACTATGCCGACGCCAGTAAGGATTGGATGATAATGAGTCATCACTGAAGTCTAGATTTCTAGTATCACTGTTTGTATTTGAATCAAGACTTCCATTAATGATAACAGGAGGAGTTAGATAGTTTTTTATTGTTGGTGAATTCGTTCGAGAAGCTCCATTATTAGTTGGACTGTTAGGCGAAGTTGCTCTTGGCGTGGGCAGCTGTTTTATTCTGGGTGACTCTCTAAAGCTTGATCTGTTTGGGGATATAATATCAGAAGCGCATCTTGTGGGGTATACTTGTTTTGTATGAGCTGCATTTGGTTCCGATAATTTCTCACCATAAATTTCGCCATCTCGACTTGCTCTTGAAAATTGAACTGCCTTTTGTTTAGTTAAACGGTCAATTTCAGCAACTTTGAGGTGCATGTCTTTACTGAAAAATGATCAAAAAGCTTTGATATTTACACAAACGAATTTTATGCTGAACATCGGAAGAAGAAAACGAAAAAAAGTGATAGAATATTCAATATATTGCAAGTCGATTTGGTGTAAATATACACTGGCGAAAAGATTTGCTACAGTTTACACGATGAAGTGATACATTTCTCTGTTTAGTAAATCACTGTGAAGTATCTGTTTTAATTCAGTTTGCCGTGTCAACAGATACCAGACATTTCAGTTCAATATAACCAATTAATAGGAAGTAGAAATTAATTTAAAACAAATAATAATTGATCCCCTTTCCACAAGAGATGGCTATCTCGGCCTAATTCACTTATTGTATAACGCTTTGGCGTTTCAAAGATGAGTGCTGGGTTGGAATCTCAGCGGCAACGCCATCACTCACTGAGAACGCAAGCTGAAAATTCCCAAACAGGACACCATGAGCACTGGTATTCCACTGCCAGTCGCCAGACACCAAATGTCGACACTGTAAAGTATATTCTACGAAAATCTACCGTTTTTTTCAAGAATGTATTATCCTACCTATCTGTCTGATTCTGATATATTGGCTGCAACAAGGAGTTCACCAAAGCCAAGTGCAAGTCTTTGGAAGTATTCTGAAGCGAATTCTTCTTATTGGCCGTATTATGTGCTGGTTGGTTTTAAAACATATTTCAGACAAACGTAAAATTATATTTCCGATTTGTCTCAGAACACTTCAGGTAAAAACCTTTCTTCTCCATGTACATATCGGTGAATTTAGTCTGAACACAAGAAATCAGTTTTTCCAGCGTTTTGTCTTTATTCCTACATGGGAATAAGTGTTTCCTGTCCAAGTAATTAATAACAGATTAACAGCTTTGTAGGAATGTCTACAAGTGATTCAGACTTATTTTTTAAGTTTAGGTGAATTCGGAAAAACCTGGTATTTCTATCATTTTACAACCTTAGCATAAGTTCTCGTCTTTAACTCTTCACAGTAAATATAGACCTGCGAATAAGCTTGGCAGACATTATGCGTGGTCATATGCTCGTATTTGTATACCTCAGGGATGTTTTTCACGTCCTAAAGTTATTTTTAGTTTTCCATTGATTTCACTGGACCAAAGCGCTCTGTCTCTGTTGATATTTGACACTAATTATAATACAGACATTTCAATAACGCTTGCGGTTAACTTTATAATACGGTTTTATCAGTGGGATCCAAGTACATCCAGTTGATAAGTCCCGTGCATTACGAAATAAGTATTCTGGATACTACTGCTAGATGATATCATACGATCAACATCATCTGACATCCTCCTGAAGCCTATTTGTCAACAGAGAGTAAATTTCAGTTACTTATAGCCAATCGATAGGATAGTCTAGTTGTGATAACGTACCCACTGGTATCGACAGCATGAGTTGAAATCAGAATGCAAACTATTAAAGGTCATTTAAAAGTCTTAGACCCGGAGTGATAAATGCGACTGACAAATCCATATTGCACAGTCAACTGTACACCGAATGCGTCTAATTTCACATATCATATATTACTTAAATAAATTATCAGAATTTCCGGTACTTTTGTTAGCCTTATTAAGGCATGCGCAACTTTCCAGAGACTTACATTAAATTGTATCGTTGCATTGCAACTAATTCATCGTAATTATGATAATCACCTCTACTGAGTACATGTGAATATAACCATTCAATGCGTAGAGTGATAGCATTGTCTTCAGGTCGTGAATATCCAAAATTTGAACTACAAACCTAAAAACAGAAAAAATAAAGAGAAACATCATGAAAATATTATGACAGTTTAACAGAATGTCTATCTTTTTAGATGAAGAGTGGTGATGAACAGTATAAGCAAAAAAAAACGTCTGGGATGATGTTTGAGACATTAAGTCATATATAGTTGTAAGACAAGTGTGTTTTTTTTGTTTGATGAAATTTAATGGTAAGCAATTACAGAGAAAAAAAACTCAAAGACAATCCATCTTCAAACTATAATGTGGACATCAGTGGGGAATTGTAAAGACGTGCTACACAAAATACTATTGATGTCAGTTAAATTGTATGTAATGAAGTGAACCTGGAAAATACTTTCATGCAAATAAGGGGAAACAGCTGAATTACTGTCATTCTCTCGGTTCCCGATTGGAAAATAACGGTTTCAGCGGCACATCTTTATTCCATCCCGTTCTCTGCAGTGCTGTTTAGCTGACACTACGACCACCTATAGGCTTTCATTTCCTCTTCATATAACCTCCTCCACGTTGTAATTTGATGTCTGACTTTTAGTTTCCCGCTCAGGTGCAACTCAAGGGAATAATGTGTGATGTTACTGAACGATCTTCTTGATGCATGTCCAATCCATCTACCAACAGTTATTGCTTGGTTCATCGCCAGAGTAAATTGTCGCTTGTTCTTTCTGACCGGTTATGTGATCTTCAATATGGAGCAAGGTCGTATTAGTGTTGAAAATCCGGACCTTGTTCCTTATGCTGATTTCATAACAGTTAACACTTGTCTTGAAATACCGACCTGATCTTGTCTTGCTTGATAATGGGTTCCACCTTTGGTTGAAACGATGCTGCCTAGGAAAGTGAAAGTGGTGACATTTTTAGGTTTTTGGTATTGGTGATGATTGATGCATGCTGTTGTTGGTTAAGTATCTTCATCCCCTCTGCCTTCTCTATGTTCAGCTGGAGTCCTGTCTTGGCTACCTCTACTAACAACTTGTTTGACAGTAGGTATTAATCATCCATGGATTCCGGACCTTCCAATGTCTTCTTGTCAGTCCAAAATGTAGCCCCTTTTTGTCGCTTACCATGGCGTTCTGCGTGATCCATTCCACTACAGTCAATATTATCATCGGTGATAGTAGGCAGTCTTACCTTACTCCGGTTTTCACTTCATTTGAATACATCAAAAGCAATAAGATATAATTTGAGCGACGTATTTACTTTCTACCTCACATTCTACTGATAATCAAACATAATTCAATTGGATTTCAGTTTAGCTTCTGATTTATTGAGTCAGTCCTATGACTGCTTCTTTGTAGCCTTAAGGAGAGTACTTTTACTTGAACGATTTTTCAACAAGATGACAGATTAAATCCTTGATGCTTTCTAAAGAGATAACCGGGCGGTTATGATTAAGAAAACGTTAAACTATTTTTGTGGGATGAATAATTTGACTTGTAAATGAAATATCCCCATAGTGAAATCAAAACAAGATTTTGAGCGAACAATTGTTTCCGATAACTTCTTCTTCAGGAACTGCAGTTATAAATCCATGAATAATAGAGTACATATAGCCAATAAAGGCAAATGAAAATAATATCAGAAACTGTATTGGGGTGATGGTCCATTAGTTAACATAGTCAATCAAATGTGTATAGGGCGCATAGTCAGAAAAATGTGATGAAGTGTGAATGAACAGTTGGGTGATATAGTGCTGTTTTCTAATCAACAGAATACAAGTGTCATTGGGGTGAGAGAAATGCGATAACCACAAAATACATACAAACAGACATTAACAAAGGGGACACTGAATGTGAGGGCTGACCGATAATGTCTAATGATAAAATAAATTATTACCAAAAATTACCATTATTATCATTTTGTGATATCATGTCTTTATTACCCATTTCTCCACCCAGTTCACCTCATTGTTACCCTTAATTTTGTCAACCTTCGTGATTTTATACTAAGCCTACCAATTCTGTAATATCTTATTACAATTTAGCCTCTTTATTTTATCATTAGACATTATCAGTCAGCCCTCACATTCAGTGCCCCCTTTGTTAATGTGTATTTGTATGTATTTTGTGTTTATCGCATTTCTCTCACCCCAATGACACTTGTATTCTGTTGATTAGAAAACAGCACTATATCACCCAATTAATTGTTCATTCACACTTCATCACATTTTTCTGACTATGCGCCCTATACACATTTGATTGACTATGTTAACTAATGGACCATCACCCCAATACAGTTTCTGATATTATTTTTATTTGCCTTTATTGACTGTATGTACTCTATTATTCATGGATTTATAACTGCAGAGCCTGAAGAAGAAATTTGACTTGTAACTTGTACATTGTACTTCCTTATTTTCATCATGTTTGTTTTTTACTGCAAACAGTAAACATGAAACTGATTTGTTGCCTTCATTACAGGTGACAATTGATGCGACTGTTCAAAAACATCACAGCATATCATATAGTCTTAGAAAATTTGCACATTTACATTATGCAAAATAATAAATATATTTTACCTTTTGACTCTTAGAAAATAGATGCATTACTATTGTTTAGTTGCCATTAAATGTATATTTTTATAATGAATTTCAGTTGTAGAAGAATAACAGAAGAAAGTCAAAGTGTACTCTTCAAACGCGACATTTGCTGTTATCTTTAATGTCTAATAATCTGTTAGAAACATGAACTGAATTTAAGCAATAATAGACAAGATGACATCCTGTTTGGTTAGGTATATTAGGGTAATTTGTGATCTCTTGTTATTTTTTTAAATTTCTAGTTTATAACATGATTCCACACAGTATTTTGGTACAAGTATGGAATTTTCAGCATTTGATATCGGTAGCCCAAATTTAGTAGGCCGGCCATCGATGTCAGGTGTGCATCAGCCGGGGATCAAACCCCGGACCATGTGCATGGTTGGAGAGCGTCCTAACCACTGTGCCACCAACTCAAAAAGTCTAGAATCAAAATAACAGGAGGAGAGGTGACAATTTGATTTATTAAAGAGAGACTAAGATTCTTTTCAGTGTGACTTCACCTTGTAAATATATATATGAGATCTGTTTTGGAAATAGTAAAGTTTTGTGTGATGAATGCCTTCGTTTACTGTTAATTTATTCTAATCAGGAATGATATTCGAACCTTGTTGAGTATGTTTTGACTTCAGCGGGATACATAGCAAGACCCCCCGCTAGTAAAAATCACTTGAATGCCTGTTTTCAACTCTGCTCTATTCACAGACGCTTTCAAAATAACTGTTTGTGTTCCTTATTGAAAAAAACAAACAGCGATAAATCTCCCATAGTATGCACTCATTACCCTGCCAGGGATCTAATCCAGCACCTTTAGTTTACAAGGTCAAGTTTGTTGACCACTCAGCTGGTGCTCCCGCCAAAATCGTGAATTGACAAATGTCAGAATTTACGGATCATTCGTTTCCAGCCCAAGTGGCTGAATGGTCGAACATATTGACCACGTAACCTGAAAGTCTCGAGTTCGATCTAAGATGGGGTCGCGGATGCATATTTCTGAAGAGCCTCTAGTTGGGAAGAAACTGCCGTCTTGTTTTCAGTGGTTCTCTAACTGACGTCAATCCATAGCCAAACTTGTAATAAATCAAATCTCCACAAACTCTCTCCTGAAAACGATAAATCTGTGTACCAAGCTAATTTTCTGCTAATAACATTTTACTTTTTCTGTCAACGCTTGTTTCTTTCTCTGTGTCTGTTCACTAGAGGAAATGACGTTTGAAAAGACAGCAGGTGAACTTAGTTCCTTTTGTATCGTATTCAAGAGTAATTTTTGTTATTTCCGGAGGACAGAGTAATAAACAAATACACTGAAACGTTTATGCATTCAGAGTTGATTAGTCTTCCGGTACACTCAAAAAAAGTCTACATTTTCGCTAGTCTTAAATCTGTACACCTCAAAAGTGTAAGTTAAATTCAAAGATTTGAAAACAGTAATTTTTAGAAACAGGTGCGTCAGTGGCACAGCGGTAGAATGCTCGTCGACCACTCATGTGGTCCGGGGTCCGATCCTCGGCCAACTCACTCCTTTACCTCACTATGCCAGTAATAAAACTGGTAAAGATGGAAGGTTAGGCTAGTAACCCTATCCCGTAAAAATAAACACCACTGCTACCGAAACTTTGAGCCTTTTGCTTGAAGCCCTATGTTCCACTGGGAATGTAATGGAATAAAAAAAGTAAAAGGTGGATACTTTATATATACATCACGTTTCTCTATCCGAATCACTAAGACCTTAGCAATGCAAGGTATATGGGGTCATTTCGTCTTCTGGAGGCTTCTTTAACTTTGTAGACAACTTTGAATAAATCATCCTTACATAGTGAGTGGCCAGTGCTAACTATATGTTCAATTATATCATTTCTTATTAATCCATAGTTACCTTTCTATACCCAAGCGGTATAATGTTCCCTGACTCTTTTAGATAAAACACGCATTGAACGACCTATTAATCGGACTGTGCAGCATCAAGTGAATTGACAGATACACAGAGAAGTGGTCAAATTCGACTTATTGGCTGACATACTAAAGAAGACAATATCAATCGTCCCGAAAAAAGCATTCTTTGCTTCTATAATTTAATTTGTATTTTCCTGCCGACCACTGTTCTGTGTGTTGTTTGCATGCGCAACGCCCTGATACTGTTTTCTGCGTCGATGGCATAACGGTTAGGACGCTCGCCGAACATACACATGGTCTGGGGTTCAATCCCCGACCGACGTACTCCTTTACCTCGCTGAGCCAGAAATAATGCTGGTGAAGAGGAAAGGTTGGGCATGAGGCTAGCAGCCCCATCCTGTGAAAACAAACACTGCTACAGAAACTTTAAGCCACTAGCTTGAAGCCCTATGTTCCACTGGGGAACATTAAGGAAAAAAATGTTCTCCAATAACTCTAAAGATAAACTAGAGAATTTGACCACTTCTGTGTGTATCTACCTGTTAATTTGTTCCTGCGTAGCGAGGTAT